ACCCAGTTTTCATAATTAAAGTAAAGAATTCGATGCGACTTCAGATATTTTTTGTAACGGAGTAGGTTATCCTTAAATTAAGCTTTTGAGCCAGATTAAGTTGAAATTTCGCTGCTCTATGAACGATTTTACTAAACATATTTTGGTTGAAACAAACAGTAGTAGTTATTAGACACTCTTATTCTGCCAAAATATGGTACTCTTACCAATAAATGGTTATACAAACTTTTTCTTCTTTACTGGTGTAACACCGCTTGAGGGGCTATAAACGCGAGTTAACAGCAAATTAGACGCTTTTAACTTTCGCAGTTTGGCCACAATTGGATATACCAAGTGCAGAAGTATTTTTGTTCACCATATCCTTCTAATAGAGTGGAGTTCTTCTTTTTTTCTCTGCTTTCACCGGCAGTTACTACTACGAAATCTTTCAGAACTGAAGTGTTCTCATCCATTCGGCCAACATGATATAACCACTGTCTCTTAATTCGTTGAACTACTTCAATGTCGTGATATACAGTGTTTGATATTAAAATTAATAGGACCGACTGGATTCGGTGAAGGGCGTTCCCAGCTAACGAACGCGCGGCTGGGCAGTTCTCTCCGAGCACTTGGAGAGTCACCACAAACATTTTGGCGTGACGTGTTTCTGTGAGTGGTACAAGTCAAAAAGGCAGTGTTCATTGTTTTGGTGGCGCTTTTTGGAGGGCCGGGAAGAGGTCGCTATCCAAAGTGAAAACAGTGCTTGACTTTTTTGAAATCATGTCTTTTTTGGCATCAAAACCATCGTTCATCCGAGACAAACCGTCAAACTTTAAGCGAAAGTCCTCAAGAGACTCAAATGAAGGGCCAATCGGGTCCGACAAGTCATCGCAGCCGACTGGAAGTTACATCACGACAATATCCCGGCTCACACCGCCTTCCTGCTTCCGCAGCCGCCTTAAAGCCCAGATGTGGCCCCGGACTTGTTTTTGTTTCCTTGACTGAGAAGGCCGATGAAAAATAAGCATTTTGAGACAACAGATGGGATCCAAACAGCATGAACCTCGGCTCTCAATGCTATTCCAGAGAATACCTTCCGTGATGCCTTCAATATTTGGAAATCGCACTCGCAACGCTGCGTCGACGCAAAAGGAGCCTATTTTGAAAGTTTTTAAAGAATTATTACGACTGGTTCAATACATTTTAAACCGACTGAGTCCATTTACTTTCCGGACAAACCTTGTATACTCGCTGTTGCCAATGCGCAAAGGACTTTAAATCCTTCACAAAACCTCATCAAAAATTAGCGCATGAGTGTAGAGTTGGGTTTTTATACGTCACCTCGTTCACTAGAAGACCCATACGCTTTGTTTTTTTTATGCAGTCTAGAAAATTAAAAATTTGGTTTTGCAGTTTTTGGGGCCAGAGTTATCGAAACTTATCTTACTAAAAAGTTTGTTTTGGGAAATCGCTTCCTTTGAGGACGAAATGAGTTGTAGCTTCATATTGCCATCACCTGGTCTTCTGGAAGCAGATAATTCTCTGTCAAACGTTTGCATATGACCCCTCAGATTGCTGTGCTAATTTGGAGCTATACAGTTGAATGGGCTAAATCGCTTTCTACGAGTATCTTTCCGTCAGTCTGTCTGTCTGTTCTCCCGACAGAAAACATTGCTCAAATTATTTTTTTGACTGATCGTGGCGCTATAAAAGTGGGAACCGTTTCGGTTACAGAGACTCATCCGGTTTTCCGACTGTTATGGAAACAAAATCCATTAGTATTCTACTCTTATATCGTTCAATACCATATCCTGAGTTTCATATGCGAAAATAAGGTGGCAACCCCCTAAATTGAAGGTTCTCGCTGCCTAGCTGCTCCACCTATATCCCATTTCTCTTCTCTCTCCATAATCTCGCGTGAGACAGACCGGAGCTACCTGGCACTTATTCTACTTGTCTGCAAAAACACACAATGAGCAATCGCTTAATTTCTTGGTAACGTTTTTTCACTACAACAACACCAAAAATATCGAAGACAGAGAACATTCTCTGCGCTACCTCCACTATCAACGTCACATTAAATTCAACACCTTTTCTCCCCAAACGGGTTTCTTACGACATAATCGGACGCACTGGAATGAGACGTCAACGTAACGAACTGCCGTAATAAATCAGAAATTACAAAGAGAACAGATAGACAGTGGCCAGGCAGGCAATGTCTTGAAATTAAATGCTCGAACTGCGAACGGAAACGGTGTTTAAGAGTGAAGTGAAGGAGTGCAAAGCAGAGCAAAAAGGAAGAACAGTAGGGTAAGGTAGCGCGAAAGGGAACAAAAATTCACACTAAGGTAGCACAATAGTAGAGATAGTAAGTGGAGCGCCAAAAAAGGTTGCAAAAAAAAAAATAAAGGAAGAAATATCTCTAAAATGAATTACAAGTGCGCAAAAAGGGCCAATAAAGTGAACGAACTGATAAGCGTTGGTAGGGAAATTGCTATAAAATGGAAATAAAAATGCAAATTAAAAGTAAAAGTAGGAATAAAAATCAGTTGAATAGCATTAGAGCATAGAAATGGTGAAAAAAGATAATGGAAATGGAAGCAAACGAAAGGCAGCGTCGCATGCAAAGAGGCTGTTGGGTAAAGCAATAGTAATTGGTAGGTGTTAAACCGTTATTATTTGCATGCTCGTTAAATGAAATTAAACACCAAAGGGTAATGCATATTTTTCATTAGCGAGAAAAAAAGTAAAAATGACAATAGAGACAAATAACGGTAAGTAGATTAAAGCGAAAGTGCGTTAGGGTAATAAAAGGGGTGTAAACTAGGTACATTTTTAAAGTGGGAATGAAGTACCAGGGAAAATGATGATGTTAATTATTGAGTGAAGAGATAGTGTGTTCATAAAAAGAGGGAGATTTTCGGAAGGCTTTACAAAATCATCATTAAGACATCTGATGACCTTCCAACTTATCAATACGAAGACCAACATAGAAGGGACGAGACAGGAAAAACGGAAGCTTTTAATTTCGACCGCACTGTATAACTTGCTATACGTAACACAGTTATTGGCAGGCTTAGGCGATGCTGTATAAATAATTAATATAAGTACTTCATGTGCCGTCGACTTGCTAGCATTTGAAGGAATGAAAATGTGGACGTTGAAGTACCTAGGACCAAATACATACCTTGAAACAATGCAAAATGGGTAAGAACAGGAACGTAATGGTACATGAGCGGCTAATCAGAAATATAAAAAAGCTGTCCAATAGGAAGCGTAATGAGATCCACTGATATTTTTGAAAATATCTATATTCAATAGGTATGGTAAAGAACCGTTTCATATGTACAAAGATTCAACCGTCTTAAGCGAGACATGGAAAGCAACGCTAAATAAATACCAAAAAGGTCCTACGGTATAAAGGAGGTAATTAAAAATAAAACTAAAAAAATTAAAATTTAATTAAAATTAAAATCACAATTAAAATTTCAATTAGAATTAAAATTAAAGTTAA